ATTTTGCACATCCGGCATGTGAAAATGCATCATCGTCGTTTCAGAAAACTACTTGTTTTGTTTGCACTGTCATCACCATAATGAACATCATCACATCATCATCATCATCATCATCTTCATCTTCATCTTCATCATCATCATCACCATCATCACCATCATCATCATCATCACATCGTCATCATCACCATCGTCATCATCATCAACATCATCATCATCATCTTCATCTTCATCTTCATCATCATCATCATCACCATCATCACCATCATCATCATCACATCGTCATCATCATCATCGTCACCATCATCATCATCATCATCGGCAGCACAGCATCATCATCTTCAGCATCATCACTATCATCCCCAGGATCATATAGATCGTCAGCAGCTGCAGCGTCAGTTTCTTCCTTCAGCTGCGTCCACGCTCCGCGAACACACGCGACAGTTCTTGCAAGAACTTAGCACTAGAGACTGATCCGATGGACCTGCGCCATTGGAACTGTAAAACAAAACTGTGCAAATGACAAGGAACGTTAACATGCCCCACCCCACCCCAACCCTTCAGCAACGTAGCATCCAACATGTGTGCAAATGACAAGTTAACATGCCCCACCCCACCCCAACCCTTCAGCAACGTAGCATCCAACATGTGTGCAAATGACAAGTTAACATGCCCCACCCCACCCCCAACCCTTCAGCACGTAAGCACCCAAAGTGTGCAAAAATGACAAGTAACTTAACATGCCCCCCACCACCCCAACCCTTCAGCCACGTAGCATCCAACATGTTGCAAATGACAGGAACGTTTAACATGCCCCACCCCACCCCAACCCTTCAGCAACGTAGCATCCAACATGTGTGCAAATGACAAGGAACGTTAACATGCCCCACCCCACCCCAACCCTTCAGTAACGTAGCATCCAACATCTGTGCAAATGACAAGGAACGTTAACATGCCCCACCCCACCCCAACCCTTCAGTAACGTAGCATCCAACATGTGTGCAAATAACAAGGAACGTTAACATGCCCCACCCCACCCCAACCCTTCAGTAACGTAGCATCCAACATGTGTGCAAATGACAAGGAACGTTAACATGCCCCACCCCACCCCACCCCTTCAGTAACGTAGCATCCAACATGTGTGCAAATGACAAGGAACGTTAACATGCCCCACCCCACCCCAACCCTTCAGTAACGTAGCATC